CTTTCCCTATTATCATTATCATTCTTCTAGTTTTGTGATAAAGATGCAAACATTTTTGTCTCACCCTTCAAAGAGGTCTACAACTCCTTATTGCTCCAAGATGGTACCGATCTTTACCCTCCATATAAGCCAAAGTCATTATGTTTGAAGAAATTATTGATTCCATACTTGGTTATCTTGATAATTCAAATTTTCTATTTTCTATCTTTCATTCTATAGATAGAGTCGCTTGTTGGTCCTGCAAGAAAGAAAGACACAAAATCAAACCTACACAAAAATAAACCAAGAAACACAAAAAGCTCACAATACCCATTAAAAAAGTAAAACACTAAAAGTAATTTTTCTAAAAAAATAAAAAGACGACATCAAAACGAAAGAGATTAAGAGAAGAGAATAACAAGATTTACGTGATTAGACCATTTAACTTACATTCATAGGAAGAACAATTTCCATTACACAAAGAATAAGATTAAGTTAAAATATAGCAACCATTGGCTTTTATGCGTTCTACATTCAAGATAAACATCAATAACACCCTAGACTCTATTTCCACATCCTTTAATATCTCTAATAGTATTCCCTTTTCTCTCTTTACACAACTCCTTGTTACTTACTTTGCACTCACATTCTCACTTAGATAGGAGTCATATATGTGTGTGCGCGTACATGCACATGCACATATAAAAGTCACTAAGAATAAATTGCATAAGATTGAATAGATCGAATCCATTAGACTAATGGAGAAAAACATAGCAAACTAAACTCATCGAATTAAAGAATCGGATTAAGAAAATGATCCATTAGACCATGAGACTAAGTCAAACTTAAGACAAATTTAGAATCATTGTTAATAGTTGTTGCAAAAAAGAAAAAAAATGTGTAGACTGTCAACTTAGGGTTGGTGGATGAATGATGTATGGGTTAGAGTTCAAGTGTGAAATAAAGATATACATCGATTAAATTTGGGCATGTTAAGTGATATATAAGTGAGAAAAATTCATCTACCTAATGCCTTAAGGTTTTAGGTTATGTTGTGGTGTTACACTCATTTATATGATTTACTCACTACTCATTGTGTTGATGCTCTCTGGTATAAAACTCTCTAACCCAACAATAGTATCAAATAGTTGATGGTTCGACCAATTGACTAATGACCAATTTAGACGAGTATTGACCTATAGAATTAGCAGTGGATGGATTCAAAAGTGGCATACTAAATAATGAAATTGGCAGGAGATCCAAGAGTGAGATCATCCCTTATATTAAAAGTCTCCCTAGAGGTGTGGAGGACGTGTGTCATTAATGTGTAACAACAGTGCAAGTAGGACACTATTAAATACTCATGGGCGAAAAAAGACTTTCGCTTGAGGGAAAGTGTGACCATGTGGAAGGGATTCACACTTGAGGAGGAGTGTTAGAGTTCACATGTAAATTGAAGTCTCACGTTGGTTAGAGTTGGGCATATTGAGTATATATAAATGAGAAAAACCCACCTACCTAATGTCTTAAAGTTTTAGGTCATGTTGTTATATTAAATTCACTTGTATGACTTACTCACTACTCATTGAGTTGATGTTCTCTAGTGCTAAAACATCCCAATAGTATGAGCAAAGAAAAAGAATCAAGAATGTGATAGTGGGTGTATATAGGAAGAAAAGGATCCATCTCGAGATCTATTTGAACATTTCCATAAAAAAAAATCAAATTGTCTATATTTATTCCCTACAATTATGTTATGGCTATGAAAAATGAGAAGATTTAAAAAGGGGGAGAGAATAAGGAATGTTGAAGGGAAACAAGTTTGTCAAAATGTGAATTTTATATGTAAGCTTATATAAGAAAGAATCAAATAGAAGTGGATGGTGACTTTCCCCTCCTCGGAGAG